CTGGTGTATAGCTGTCTTGTATGTGTCAGCATCCACCACCATACACTGGTGTATAGCTGTCTTGTATGTGTCAGCATCCACCACCATACACTGGTGTATAGCTGTCTTGTATGTGTCAGCATCCACCACCATACACTGGTGTATAGCTGTCTTGTATGTGTCAGCATCCACCACCATACACTGGTGTATAGCTGTCTTGTATGTGTCAGCATCCACCACCATACACTGGTGTATAGCTGTCTTGTATGTGTCAGCATCCACCACCATACACTGGTGTATAGCTGTCTTGTATGTGTCAGCATCCACCACCATACACTGGTGTATAGCTGTCTTGTATGTGTCAGCATCCACCACCATACACTGGTGTATAGCTGTCTTGTATGTGTCAGCATCCACCACCATACACTGGTGTATAGCTGTCTTGTATGTGTCAGCATCCACCACCATACACTGGTGTACAGCTGTCTTGTATGTGTCAGCATCCACCACCATACACTGGTGTACAGCTGTCTTGTATGTGTCAGCATCCACCACCATACACTGGTGTATAGCTGTCTTGTATGTGTCAGCATCCACCACCATACACTGGTGTATAGCTGTCTTGTATGTGTCAGCATCCACCACCATACACTGGTGTAATAGCTGTCTTGTATGTGTCAGCATCCACCACCATACACTGGTGTATAGCTGTCTTGTATGTGTCAGCATCCACCACCATACACTGGTGTATAGCTGTCTTGTATGTGTCAGCATCCACCACCATACACTGGTGTATAGCTGTCTTGTATGTGTCAGCATCCACCACCATACACTGGTGTATAGCTGTCTTGTATGTGTCAGCATCCACCACCATACACTGGTGTAAGCTGTCTTGTATGTGTCAGCATCCACCACCATACACTGGTGTATAGCTGTCTTGTATGTGTCAGCATCCACCACCATACACTGGTGTAAGCTGTCTTGTATGTGTCAGCATCCACCACCATACACTGGTGTACAGCTGTCTTGGTATGTGTCAGCATCCACCACCATACACTGGTGTACAGCTGTCTTGTATGTGTCAGCATCCACCACCATACACTGGTGTAACAGCTGTCTTGTATGTGTCAGCATCCACCACCATACACTGGTGTACAGCTGTCTTGTATGTGTCAGCATCCACCAACCATACACTGGTGTACAGCTGTCTTGTATGTGTCACATCCACCACCATACACTGGTGTACAGCTGTCTTGTATGTGTCAGCATCCACCACCATACACTGGTGTAACAGCTGTCTTGTATGTGTCAGCATCCACCACCATACACTGTGTACAGCTGTCTTGTATGTGTCAGCATCCACCACCATACACTGGTGTACAGCTGTCTTGTATGTGTCAGCATCCACCACCATACACTGGTGTACAGCTGTCTTGTATGTGTCAGCATCCACCACCATACACTGGTGTACAGCTGTCCTTGTATGTGTCAGCATCCACCACCATACACTGGTGTACAGCTGTCTTGTATGTGTCAGCATCCACCACCATACACTGGTGTACAGCTGTCTTGTATGTGTCAGCATCCACCACCATACACTGGTGTACAGCTGTCTTGTATGTGTCAGCATCCACCACCATACACTGTGTACAGCTGTCTTGTATGTGTCAGCATCCACCACCATACACTGTGTACAGCTGTCTTGTATGTGTCAGCATCCACCACCATACACTGGTGTACAGCTGTCTTGTATGTGTCAGCATCCACCACCATACACTGGTGTATAGCTGTCTTGTATGTGTCAGCATCCACCACCATACACTGGTGTATCAGCGTCTTGTATGTGTCAGCATCCACCACCATACACTGGTGTACAGCTGTCTTGTATGTGTCAGCATCCACCACCATACCACTGGTGTAACAGCTGGTTCTTTTGTATGTGTCAGCATCCACCACCATACACTGGTGTAAGCTGTCTTGTATGTGTCAGCATCCACCACCATACACTGGTGTACAGCTGTCTTGTATGTGTCAGCATCCACCACCATACACTGGTGTACAGCTGTCTTGTATGTGTCAGCATCCACCACCATACACTGGTGTACAGCTGTCTTGTATGTGTCAGCATCCACCACCATACACTGGTGTACAGCTGTCTTGTATGTGTCAGCATCCACCACCATACACTGGTGTACAGCTGTCTTGTATGTGTCAGCATCCACCACCATACACTGGTGTACAGCTGTCTTGTATGTGTCAGCATCCACCACCATACACGGTGTACAGCTGTCTTGTATGTGTCAGCATCCACCACCATACACTGGTGTACAGCTGTCTTGTATGTGTCAGCATCCACCACCATACACTGGTGTAAGCTGTCTTGTATGTGTCCAGCATCCACCACCATACACTGGTGTACAGCTGTCTTGTATGTGTCAGCATCCACCACCATACACTGGTGTACAGCTGTCTTGTATGTGTCAGCATCCACCACCATACACTGGTGTATAGCTGTCTTGTATGTGTCAGCATCCACCACCATACACTGGTGTATAGCTGTCTTGTATGTGTCAGCATCCACCACCATACACTGCTGTATAGCTGTTACTTTGTATTTTCTGTACAGCAACATGACAGGACTTCTAAAAGTAAATAAATCCAATAAATAAAAAGTCTCCATCTTACGACTAGTGTTATTCAGTGTTAGATCACACTCTGGAGAGGAAACTTGAGACAACTCGTTGAATTTGTGCTGGAGTAGTATCAGCTATGACTCAGATCTACATAAATTGTGAATTATTTAGAATATAAAAGTCAGAGTGTTCAGTGACTCGCAGCCTCAGTAGCTACTTCTTAGAGCTAAAGTTTGATGCACCATTACTGCGTGTACATCTTATTAATGCAAATAAGATACCAGATATATTAAACAAATTTGCTAAATTTGCTTGTAACAGTTAAGTGAACTGTTGATAGAATCCGAGATGTACTCCTGTTAACGCTTTCGGGACGCTAGTTCTTAAGCCTTCTGTGTATCCATATGCTCTTGCGCTACCTCCACAGGATGGATATGAGGTGCACAATAAGCTAGCCACTTCGGTGGCAAAATCTAAATCTAATCTGCCGCTTGCAGTCACACCAACAAAACAAAGCAGAGATACATAGTGACAACAGAAAATTAAAAACACATATATTACAACCTTATGCTTAGTGGTCCATTAAATTTATAACATTTTACATCTTAAATATTTTGTGCAGCCAAGTCTACATCAGCGCCTCTTCTTGCCCATTAATATTAAAGGAAAATGAAGGAAGTACACACACTCCTTATGAAACCTTATTCAGTCGGGTAGTTAAGAAGCAGGGTCCAAGAGCTAGAGTGAATACCATACTAACACAGTATGGGGATACAGTATGATTAATCTTTTAAAATAAGATTCAAAAGACATGAACACAAAATAGAAGATATTTGAAGTGACAAGTTCAGAATGAAGACGAACATGAACACTGAAACACAGATGTTCAAGAAATGTCTGTGTATAAGTTACGAGCGAGTCGAACATACTAGGTTGTGTACTCACTCTCATATGGAATTGTCTGTAGGTATGACATAACTGAGGTGAGACCCAGGAGCTGGATCTTACTCTCCACTAATAAAATACACACACACACACACACACACACACACACACACACACACACACACACACACACACACACACACACACACAGATTTAAAGAAGTATTAACAGTGGAAACCAGTAGGACTCCAGGAAATCAGAACAGGGGGGCACACCAGCAAGTGCTGGATGAGGTACATATAACCAAGGAGGAGGTGAAGAAGCTGCTATGCGAACATGACACCTCAAAGGCGGTGGGACCAGACAACAACTCTCCGTTGGTCCTTAAAGAGGGAGCAGAGATACTGTGTGTGCCATTAACAAAGATCTTCAACACATCAATTGAAACTGGGCAACTCCCTGAGGTATGGAAGATGGCAAATGTAGTCCCAATTTTTAAAAAGGGAGACAGACATGAGGCACTAAACTACAGACCTGTATCACTAACGTGTATAATATGCAAGGTCATGGAGATCATCAGGAGGAGAGTGGTGGAGCACCTGGAAAGAAACAAGTGTATAATTGACAACCAGCACAGTTTCAGGGAAGGAAAATCCTGTGTCACAAACCTACTGGAGTTTTATGACAAGGTGACAGAAGTAAGACAAGAGAGAGAGGGGTGGATCGACTGCATTTTTTTGGACTGCAAGAAGGCCTTCGACACAGTTCCTCACAAGAGGTTACTGCAAAAGCTAGAGGATCAGGCACACATAACAGGAAAGGCACTGCAATGGATCAGAGAATATCTGACAGGGAGGCAACAACGAGTCATGGTACGCAACGAGGTGTCAGAGTGGGACACAGAAACAAGAGGTCACAATTGGAAGTTGAAGACTCAGATGAATCAAAGGGATGTTAGGAAGTATTTCTTCAGTCATAGAGTTGTCAGGCCATGGAATAGCCTAGAAAGTGAAGTAGTGGAGGCGGGAACCATACATAGTTTTAAGGCGAGGTATGATAGAGCTCATGGGGCAGGGAGAGAGAGGACCTAGTAGCAATCAGCGAAGAGGCGGGGCCAGGAGCTGTGACTCGACCCCTGCAACCACAAATAGGTGAGCAAATAGGTGAGTACAGGTCAGGAGCTGTGAATCTACCCCTGCAACCACAAGTAGGTGAGTCCACACACACACACACACACACACACACACACCAATGGAAATTTGAAATTTTTATACAAGAAGTACACTGTGTCAGGAGCACAGGTCAGCTCTTGAAGCTACATATGTGTCATCATAAACAGTGAAAGTGTGAATAAAATTTTCCTATAAAAGCGTTTGACGGGACACAGATGTGGTCAAGTGAAAGTCCATCTTAAAATGGGTAGTCATTCAACAGTGTTCTGAGATATGTAGTACATGATACCTTGTGATCATTAAAATCTTTAGTATTTATAAGTGTTGTTGTTTATACAGCAATGAAATTTTTATTTTCTAAAGAGCTTCCCTCTGGCACTTTTATACTGTGATCTTCCTTCTGAATTTGAGCATCTGCTGTGGTTGATGTTTCCTGGTGAGGGCTGTCCTGGTGAGGACTGTCCTGGTGAGGACTGTCCTGGTGAGGACTGTCCTGGTGAGGGCTGTCCTGGTGAGGACTGTCCTGTTGAGGGCTGTCCTGGTGAGGACTGTCCTGGTGAGGACTGTCCTGGTGAGGACTGTCCTGGTGAGGGCTGTCCTGGTGAGGACTGTTCTGGTGAGGACTGTCCTGTTGAGGACTGTCCTGGTGAGGACTGTCCTGGTGAGGACTGTCCTGGTGAGGACTGTCCTGGTGAGGACTGTCCTGGTGAGGGCTGTCCTGGTGAGGACTGTCCTGGTGAGGACTGTCCTGTTGAGGACTGTCCTGGTGAGGACTGTCCTGGTGAGGGCTGTCCTGGTGAGGACTGTCCTGGTGAGGACTGTCCTGGTGAGGACTGTCCTGGTTGTCAGCAAGAGCTTGTAGCAGCTTCATATCATTCTTCATTTCATTATCTTCAGCTTCCAACCAGATTCTGAAAAGAACACAACGACAAGAGTATTAGGATTTCATGGGAAAGTGTAATAGACACGTTTACAACACTTTAGTATCTTCATTGCGGAGAAGTTTCGCCAGTCCAGTACAGACGGTGGAAGACATGGAATAGTTTGAGGTGATCAGTCCCTCAACCTTAATAAATCTGTTGGAGACTTTTGAAGATATGAAGTATTTTCGAATGATCGCTTCCCTAGTCTTGAAAGATGTTCAGATCATCAGTATTAATGAATCTGAGGCTCACCAGTCTTGATGAGTCTCAGACTTGCCAATCTTACTGAATCTAAGATTCATCAAGACTTAGAGACTAATCACCTACTTAACGTCTTCCATCGTCTCCAGTATTATTCTCTACACTGCACTGATGAAGTCGCTGGTGGGTGAAATCTCTCCACAATATATTTAAGTGTTGCACTTTTGTCTTGTCCATCAACTTGTCGGTTCTGGATACCATTAGAAAGAAGATTTTTTTTAACATAAGTAGCAGAAGGAACCTAAAAGAGATCACAGAAAAGAGCAAGGTGATAAAAGAGAGAAAGTCTAGACCGGAGGGAAGCAGTAAGGAGAAAGTCAATGTATTTAGATATTATGAAGTGATGACTTGAACGATGAGTTTGAATGACGAAGTGGCTTATGGAACACATGAAAGAAAGATGATGGAGTACTGATGAGTGTGGAAAAAATGAAATTTATAAATGGAAGCAAAACTCAGAACTGTACTATAGTGGTGGCAGTACCTTTGTATGGGTGTGATTCATGACCTGCACTATAATTATGGCAGCACCTTTATATGGATGTGAAATTTGGTGATAGAACACTGCAGTGAGAAGACTTGAGACAGTGCTGATATTGTTTCCTCTAGGGAGGCTCCTTGATGCCGGTGAGGGGCTCTTGATCCAAGAAACTGAATTTGACCTTCCTTTCTCTGATCGAACCCTACTGGCTTCCATTACCCCTGGCGCTGTATAACCCCATGTGTTTAGCCCTCCCGAAGAATGTAATAATAATAATAATAATAATAATAATAATAATAATCTTTATTAAAAAAAAAAGAAGAGAAGATATAGATCTAGTGTGCACAATTGTTATACTTTTCAAAAAGTCCCTTGTTATGTAGAGGGTTTCCTCTTCAAGGGGGGCTCCTTGGCATGGTGAAGAGGCTCTTGGTCTTAGGAATTAGACCTGTCGGTCTCCTTCCTCAGACCGAACCTAATTACCCCCCAATCTCCCCTTTCCTCTCCCATCCTCCCCATCCTCCCCTTTTTCATTTCCTCCTCCTAGGTAGGGGAAAGGGTACCGGGGTCCATCCCACTCCATTGAGGTTCTTGGCGGTGGCGTAGTTTGCCATGGAATCTGGATTGCCCGAGGATGTCCCGATCCCTCTCCGGTATCCTGGAGGGTGGCTTTGGGTGTCTTTCGGGCGATGGGTGTATCTCTGGAAGCCACCTTTCGGATTGCAGGGGTGGTGGCCGAAGGAAGTATGCTATGTGGCGGATATCCGGCCGCCCTCTCTTTTGTCCACCGAGGTAGCTCGGTAGATGTGAGGTTGCTATCCCGGATTGCTGGTTTACTGGCATGATGGGTAGGGTATGGCATGGGTTCCATGCTGCATCTGCGCTACTTGCGGTGCTGAGGTCCTCTTGGGCGCGGAGGGAGATTTCTGGCCCTTTCATTCCTCCTACGAACTATCCCTCCCCGGTCCCCCCTTTTGTCATTCTCTTTTTTATTTTTACTTTCTTTTCTTCTTTCTTTTTTTTTCTTAAAAACAAAAAGAAAGAAGTAACCTAACCATGGAGTACCCGATCCATGACCCCACTACCCCCGGGCCCCTTATTGTTACCGCACCCCGTTCTGACCTTGCCTCATCTTTTGGCCACTCTTTGGACATTCCTAAGGCCCCTGTACCTCTTGCTGGTGCTGTTTCCTCACCTGCCTCAGGTACCGGGGCTTCCACTGACTCCTTCGATTTGTCTGACCTCCACTCTCCTTTGACTATGCTTCTGGCTTCTCCCTCTACGGTGCGGCGATTTTCGAATCGCCAACCCATCCCAAGTCGGACCGACTCTGGTCCCACTTCTAAACATCAACGACAATCTCCTAATGATGTTACTTCGTTACCTTCCCTCTCTACTCGGAAAAGACCGACAAGTCATGCACTCCCTCTCCACACTCAGTTTCGGACCACACAATGGACTAAATTCTTTGCATTAAGACCGACTTCTTCTACTGCCTATCTTTCCGACCATAGTATTGGCAAAGCGCTCCTACGCCACGTTGGTAGAGATATTTCCTTTCATGCTCTTAAGAGTGGTATGCGCATCATCACAGTCCAGAATTCTACCCAAGCTCATGATCTTTCTCTTCTTTCACATATCGATACTATTCCTATCACTATCGAAAAACACATCATTCCCTCAATTCTTGTAGTGGTACTGTTATTCTTCCCCATACCATAGTCCAACAGAATTTCCAGACATGTGGCACTGACATTCTCGAACAGCTGGAACTCTAAAATCTCCCAATTCTCAAGGTAGACACTTATGTTCTTCCTGCCCGCGGGTGAAGACGATACCCTTGCAATGTGGCTCGTTTAACTTTTGGCAGCCGTGAACTCCCATCCTCTGTTTATGTAGCAGGACATCGGTTACAAGTTCGGAAGGTGATCCCTACACCACAGCAGTGTAGGAATTGTGATGAATGGTTTTGAAAACCGACAAGTTGAAGATTTGAGACACTTATGCAACACATGGGAATCTTTATTGAAGAAACGTTTCGCCACACAGTGGCTTCATCAGTCCAATACAAAGTAGAAATGGGTAAGGAGAGGAGAAGTTTGAGGTAATCAGTCCCTCAACCTGGAATCGATGTGTTCAGTCCATCACTCTTGTAGGAAGTGCAGCATAGGGCCAGAGAGGTGGCTTATATACTGCAGTGAGATGAGCTGAAGCAGGAGGAGGCAGGATCACAGTGGGACCTGCCACTAGTGTAAGTAGGTCGTCGTCCAACGGTTGGGCAAGCGTTGAAGTCTTTGTACCAAGATCCCATGATGTTGCCATGTCTGACAGATGTGATGAATGGTTTTGAAAACCGACAAGTTGAAGATTTGAGACACTTATGCAACACATGAGAATCTTTATTGAAGAAACGTTTCGCCACACAGTGGCTTCATCAGTCCAATACAAAGTAGAAATGGGTAAGGAGAGGAGAAGTTTGAGGTAATCAGTCCCTCAATCTGGAATCGATGTGTTCAGTCCATCATCAGTCCAATGCAAAGTATTGGACTGATGAAGCCACTGTGTGACGAAACGTTTCTTCAATAAAGATTCCCATGTGTTGCGTAAGTGTCTCAAATCTTCAACTTGTCGGTTTTCAAAACCATTCATCACATCTGTCAGACATGGCAACATCATGGGATCTTGGTACAGAGACTTCAACGCTTGCCCAACCTTTGGACGACGACCTACTTACACTAGTGGCAGGTCCCACTGTGATCCCACCTCCTCCTGCTTCAACCCATCTCACTGCAGTATATAAGCCACCTCTCTGGCCCTATGCTGCACTTCCTACAAGAGTGATGGACTGAACACATCGATTCCAGGTTGAGGGACTGATTACCTCAAACTTCTCCTCTCCTTTCCCATTCTACTTTGTATTGAACTGATGAAGCCACTGTGTGGCGAAACGTTTCTTCAATAAAGATTCCCATGTGTTGCATAAGTGTCTCAAATCGATTTGGCCACCCAGCAAATATTGCAGATCTATAGCCGAATGCCCAGTCTGTGGTGCCGATGACCATTCTAATACATCTTGCAGTCGAACTCCCTCTTGCCTTAATTGTCATGAGGCTCACCCTTCGTACTCTCGCCGTTGCCAAGTCTATTTAAATGAGAGGGAAATTCGTTGCCTCAAAGAGGCAGAAGGTCTCCCTTATGCTATGGCAGTTTCTCATTTCCGCCTCCAAGGGAGACTGCCCCGTGTTTCTTATTCTCGTGTTTCAAAGCGTCCCCCCACTTCTGGGGTCACATCTTCTGCAGCCTCCTCTGTGGTTGCCAGTCCCATAGTCACTCCTGTATCTAATTCTTTTGCTGTCCTGGGCTCAGACGTCCCTACTTCAACTCCTCAGTCTGTCCTCACTTCTTCGTGTCCTCCCTCACAAACCCCGGTATCGACAAGACCTCGAACGACACCTCCTCTCAATTGTCCCTCTACTTCTCAGAGGCCCAAAAAACCTCCTTTAACCCCTCCTTCCCTTCATCTACCTCCACATTTTACCTTCCCGGTCTCTGTACCTGAGTCTTTCCCTTTCACTGGCTCTGTTACAAGTGTGGAGGTTCATCCTCCTCCTCGTACTGTGCCTTCCTCCCCTGTCACCTCCCAGGTTTCTGCCTCTTCTGTCCCCTCCCACACTTCTCCAGTTCTCTCCACCCTTTCGCCCCCCCCATACCTTGGTACAGTCCATTACAGCTCCGATCTTCACTCAAACTCCTCCTTCCATCTCCAATATTGTCACCCATATGACGTCTCTGAACTCCGAAACACTTGAAGCAATCTCTGAATATATTGCAGAGACCAAACCATCAATGGACACTGATCCACCCTCTGTTCCTCCTCTTTCCTCTTCTCCATCTGCACAACTCCTTTCTTCACAATGCACCATTCCTTCGCTACTTGAACGTTTTCCTTTGCTATCGCATGTGGACTTTTCTAACCCCTCTAATCCATAGGTACCTTTACCTGCGGATCATGGCCAATCATGGCCTATTTACAGTGGAATATTCGCGGCCTCAGGGGTAATCGGGGTGAGCTTCAGATGTTGCTCTCCCAATTTTCCCCTGTTGGTGTATGCTTACAGGAACCAAAATTACACTCTGCCGTTATCTCTCCCATCTCAGGCTGTAATTTATTGTATTCTTCAGATCCTTTTCCTGATGGGACCTTTAATGAAAGTGCCCTTCTTCTACGCACTGATATTCCGTACCA